TTGGCTCGGGTATTCTACAGTGGCGTCGGATTAGGGCGCAGACATGTTGGACCACCTGGCCTCAGCCAATCCTGTGTCTGTCTGCGTTCCAATGGCATGCGAGGAATATATGCAGCTAGCGTGAGAATGACACGAATGAGGAGCCGTACATAATGTGCGATATAGCCAGCGTGGTGGTCTCTGATAAGCGGCGCCTAACGTATGGTTTGGCATGTAATTGGTCAATAAAGCCTGTTCTGTTGCACCAGTCTTATTCATACTAGGGCTCGGGTATTCTACACAGTGTGCGCAGACAACTTGGATCAAGCTGAGCAGAGCCAATCATCCGCATGTGGGCGTTTGAAAGACAAGCAGTTCAGTAGCCAACCAGAGACCAGGCTTGGTCAGAAACATCAAATACAGGTGTAGCGAAAAATTGCGGAATATTGGAGCACTAGTATGAAGAAGACTGGTACAACAGAACAGGCTTTATTGACCAATTACATGCCAAACCATACGTTAGGCACCGCTTATCAGAGACCACCACGCTGGCTATATCGCACATTATGTACGGCTCCTCATTCATGTCATTCTCACGCTAGCTGCATATATTCCTATCCTGCCATTAGAAAGCAGAGAGACTGAGGATTGGGTGAGGCCAGCGTGGTGTGGTGTAGCGGCGTGACAGATAGCAGCCATATTGGTGTTAATTCATTGGTCGAAGGTGAGAAGCACACCAAGTTGGCGACGTCATGTGACCGGGGGTGCGGTTTCCTTCTGTGTCGTCACGCGGGCATTGAATGACGCGCCGGGGACTGAAAGCCAATCAGCTCAGGAGTTTTTCGTCCTTATTGCAGCCCCCCGGAAAGGAACAACGGGAGAATTGGACGACGAGGACAAGGACATATAAAGACACTATTTCCATTCTTACGCCTCACCTGTTTGTGACTAGATTGTGGTTTGTTTCAGCCTTCATTAAAGTACTCCCTTTTGCTTTATTCCCTCTTTTCTTGACCATATCAGTACAGTAATGTTGCGTCGGATCAGGGCGCAGACATATTGGACCACCTGGCCGCGGCCAATCCCGTGTCTCTCTGCAATCCAATGGCATGCGGGAAAGGAATGCAGCCAACCTGAGAAGGACATGGATGACATGCAGTATATAATGAGCGGAGTGGCCAGCGTGGTGGACTCAGATGGAAGGCGCCTGACGTGTGGGCCTGGATTGTTATTGGTCAACAAAGAGTGTTCTGTTGTACCAATTTTTTTCCTATTAGGGCTCGGATATACTACAGCAGTTGCGGCGACGGATCAGGGCGCAGACATATTGGACCACCTGGCCGCAGCCAATTTTGTGTCCCTCTGTGTTCCAATGGCATGCGAAGAAGATGTGCAGCCAACCAGAGCCAAATACGAATTCGGAGCAGCATATGATGAGCGATGTAGCTAGCGTGGTGGACTCGGATGGACGGCGTCTAATGCGTGGTCGTAACTTGTGATTAGTCAATAAAGCCTGTTGTGTCGTACCAGCATTCCTCATACAACGGCTCGGGTATTCAACCCTGGGCGGAGCAACCAATATGGCGGACTAAATGAATGGCGCCTGAAGAAAGGTTCTGGCATGTAATTGATCAATTAAAATTGCACAGTTCAACTAGTCTTATTTAAATTGCCTCGTGGATTTTCTGCATAATCAAATTAAAGTGATGGCTTCCAATGGACGAATAAAAGTGATTAACTTTCTATGAAACAAATAATCAGTTTCTTTTTACAATTACGAGAAAAGTATTAAACTGCAGGATGCTTTTTCAGCTTCTCTTAATTGGAACTTAACGGGTAAAGTTTGCTCAATATATACTATATTAGGCAGCTGACCTTTTATTTAATACCTATGTATTTAGATGTTTGAAGTTTAATACAAACACTTCAAAATGACGATATGACACATTTATTACTAACGGTGTAGTTTATTGTCCACAGGATCCTCAGCTTGCATAATCTTTTTACCGACAACGTAACGATATAATGCTATAAATGATTGTAGCTTTTTTAGCTGCACAATGGTGCTACGCATTGCAAAAAATAATTTAATAGTTAAAAATTACATCTTCTTACATAAGCGAAGAGCAATCTAATAAGAAATGTAATTTCTAATTAAACGATAATGCGTTTTAGACTGTATTTGCTCCGTGATTCCTTAAACAGCAATTGGGCAAATAAATAACCAATTTTTTCAAATTATAAATTTGAAATTTTGGTCGATAAAGTCACATTAGCGTTAAAAATTGGAGGTGATGGATACCTGTCATTGGCATTAAAATATTTGGCTTTTCATGTACTATTAGAAAACTGACAGAAATATGTTGAAGATTTCATATGACCCCATGACAATCATTTTTGCATTTTGAAACTACGAATATGCTTGAAACCCTACGACGAATTTTGTATTTACATATTCGTTTAAGTGCGCTCTCACTGTACAATCGCGGGGAGGTGAAGTCGCACGCTTTAGTCAATCGCTTGCGGTACGTTCTTCTTTCCCTCGGGCTATATTGTGCCTATTTTAGTCATGGCTCTTGCAAAATTATTTAAGCCAGATAAAACGCCACCAACTCCCTTGGAGGAAGAGATCGCCAACACGCTTGTTGATCTTCAGTCGCATGAGGATATGTCGGAATCGGTCAAAATGTTGTATTTTTGTGGTGCCAAGGTACAATTATCGATTCCCCATAACCGCATTCCAAGGAATTTTCTATTGGCCACGAAAAAGCCATCGTTGTTTATGTTCCAGTGCCCCAATTAAGAACCTACCACCAACTGCACAATCGCTTGGTCGGGGAGCTTGAAAAGAAGCTTCGTGGCCCTCAGGTATTTATTTGTGCATTCAGGCGTATCCTGCCGAAGCCACGCAGAAAATGCAAGACTAACCCCAAGCAAAAAAGACCAAGGAACCGCACTTTGACTTCCGTCCATCAGGCAATACTGAGGGACATTGTTTATCCTGCCGAAATTGTCGGCCAACGTACCCAGGTTAAAATTGATGGTAGCTCTCTTATTAAGTGCCATCTCGATATTGCCCAACGGAATTATGTTGAGCATAAGGTAGGCAAATATTTTCTAATAATTTTCTGTAGTTAAAAACCATTACCGGTCTCTACAAGAAGCTCTCTGGCAAAGATGTGGCGATCGAATTTCCAGATTGGGTTTTGTAGAATACAATAACTGTATAGGATTTCAACGTGTTTTGCTATTACGAGTCTGGATTTGTTTTTATGGTTTCAGGCGCTGATATTTAGGATCTAAAAGCTAAGAGGCATCTATAGTATCGAAAAACGTTTCGCAACACGACGGAAAATTGTGCGTACGTCGGTACGTAGTCTGTCGTACTCATGTTTGTCCCGTCCATCTTGGAACAAAGACCGGTTTTTTTAATTTTTTTACAGGGCTGGTGCGCTGTAGCTGTGTAGGAATTGTGTCGTAATCACAACTGTGCCATCCTAGATCTTAGAAAATTGGGTATTTTTGTGTTCTAGTTCTTTTCATGCACGTTTTTTTGTTGACTAGCTCTGGTCGGGTTGTTTCTCTCACTGTTTTACTATCAGCTAAGGTGATGTGTGGACACATCTGGGAAATACCATGTGAAGGTCCACAGAAATAGAGCTTAACTGGCCATGCGCTACCCATCGAATGCAAGATAATTTGATGTTATTGTGTAATCGAGTCCGAGTTTATAGATGTTGCTCTAAGTAAATTTTAGCATTTTAATGCTGTTGGAGGGAGGGAGATTATGGCCCTACGTTTTACCATATCATGTACAGTTTCTAAGGTAATTCGTGTTGGTTAAATCACCAGGTAGGCGAGTTTCTATTTCGTAGCTCGGTGCACTTCACTGAATCGCAACAACTTCGTTCGTGAACCTGAGATCTTGATCACGGACAAGTTCAGTGAACGATGTTGTTGTGCAAGTGTCATTTGGAAGTTTCATATATTTTCCACTTCGTAAAACTGGAATGAAAATTGGTAGTGTTCTTTTCAGGACCTTAAAATGGTTGATTTCAAAACAGTGGGGTGCATTTAAACCTCACGAAGGGTTTTTTCACCCCAAACTTCGAGATTGCTGTCTGAAGTTGCTGCTTGATATTAGAGGGCTCGCATGGTATGTATCGGTGGTGTTCATTATCATAACGAGCGTGATCGATGTTGGCGGTGTACTGCGATTGATTTGCGAGAGCTGGTCAAATGGTACAGCGTTTCGTAATTGGCAAATTGCTTCGACGATAGTTTTTTTTCCAATTTTATAAGCAGTTATGAGGCTCTGATTAAATTGTTTTGTAGTAGCAGCGGATTCTGATACACTAAGCCTTCGAATACACGCTACGGTTGCTCAGTTGGCCTTAATTTGAAATCCCACTTGTTCTCTAAAAGCTCATCATTTTCAAGGCATTAAGCTATCACGGTCATCTAAATCAAATGCACGCCCTTGGCTGTGCAATTCTTGTAAATCAATTTAGATAGGGTTTCTACTGGCACGGAATCACGATAACGGCCTTTTTATTTCATAGACCAATAACACTGACCATGTCTTGAAGAAACTAGAATATGAAATCGTTAAAGCAACCTGAATCAGTCGCTATTTACTGACCGGACGATCAATGTTTAGGTTGTCGTCTGGATTGAACGGAGCAGGAGCGTGACTACCATTGCTAAGTTCTGCAGAATCATTTGATAAGCATTATTGCGAGAATAGCCACGTAATCACTTAAGTCACACGTTGCTAGGACGCATACCACGGTAGCTCTGCAGAGATTCTTTGCTTATTGGCATCGTGAGAGTAATAAGGTATTCGACTTATTCCCGGTAGTGTATCATTGGATTCTTTCTAAAGAGCGATCACGAGGCCCACAATTGGCATCAAATGGAACCCAAAATCAAATTACTAACATTGAGAATGCGTGTATGCCGACTATGTAAGCTCTCATCCGTAGCCCAAGTTAGTACTTGAGGTAGGGGAAGTGCTCTCCCTTGTTATAGTAGGAAAATCATTCTATTCAACAACTCGTGGAGTGCTTCCGGACAGACTCAGGCTTAGTTATTAAATCAATTCAGTTTCCTTTGGAATTAGTAAAAACGGCAAACAAATACGTGACTGGGATGTTCCCAGGACAACACGCGTAAACTGCACAACGGTTGCAGTATTGCATGCGCAAACAAAAGCCACCTTCGGGGGCTACAGCCCTACTTGACTCTTCACAGGGCTACTACTACTTCTCAACACCAGCGGATCGTCGCTCCTAGCCCGTCCTCATTTATATGTCGAACCGTAAACCTCACCTCCCATTCCCACATCCGCCTAGTTACTTAAATACACTCATCATATATTATCGATAATTATACCTATACTGACCTCGAATATGAAAACACTTTTTATTCATTTTTGTTCGTGAATTCAAGCACTTGCGATCTTGAATCCAAGTAGTTTCTGGTCGCTTTATTAAAGAAAGGAGGTCTCAGCAGTGTCAGGTCCTCTCATTCACCAAGAGAGCATGCGTGTAGGAAAGACGATGAGACCGACAATTAAATGCAAAGAAGTCCACTAGTGTTGCATAATTTACCTAATGATTGACGAATGACTGTTGTCTATCATGCGCAGGTAGTGCCATTATCATATCTTATTACTAATTATACCTTATAAAAATTTGATAAACCTCATTTACGATTTGGCGCAAATTTCACAAGGGAAAATCGAACTAAGCCAAAGAATCCAAAGTTAGCCAATTTTCGCAATTACTAGTGTACATAAAAGCAATGACGACCGAAATAGGCGAACGAAATTACTGATAACCAGTTGTAAACACCAAAACTGAAAGATTTACAGGTTAAATGGTAAAAAACAAACGAAGCAAACAAGACAAGTATTGTTTGATTTCAGAACCACTTAATTTTGACTTTCCATAAAGACGATCTACGAAGGAAATTCCCACCTGGTAAAAATTAGTGGTTACTAAAATCAACTAATTACCTCGCCAATCTTATAACCCATGGTAGATGCACGCGCCATCATTTCCATTTGGAAGACATAACCACGGGAAACCGACGTTTTAATCAGCGTAGACAAAACTTTGCGCTTGTAAAGGCTAGATTAGGATTAAATAACTAAAAAAAAGTTACCGAAAGCTTCCAGTTAAATCTGAGGCCTTTGGCTGAAGTAATAAATGTGCCACAAAATTAGCACCTCGACTAAAAAGAACAAATAATTAGACAGAATTACGGAGGGTCAGAAATAGAAATACAGCATAATGTTCCTGAAATTACGCATTTGTTACAACTGCCAGGATCCCTACGGATAGATACAATTGGGTTAAAAAACTATACGGATGAGAACTACTTCAAGAGAGCAAAGAGCCGAATCCCTACCTGATGATCTTCCGTTTCAAGTCCCAGCCGCTTACACCACCGCCACAAGAATACCGCGTCCCAGTGACAATATCATAATCCATCGACTTTTGCAACCTAACAGCTCCAACCAAATATAAATCACATCATACTCAATTAACACCGGCAAAAATTTTGGCTAGGGCAATGTCAATTAGATTTTTATCTTACATTGTGTGAAAGATCAGCATCCATTATAATGACGAAATCTCCTCTTGCAAACTTCATGCCATGAACATAAGCAGTTCCTTCATAAAATATAACTTAAAAATAGGCAACCTACCCAAGCCTTCCTTCTTTTGTCGAGGTTTAAGAACCTGGAAGTAAACAAAAGAAAGTGACAAACGATTTTTTCATGACCATATATTTCTTGAAGTTGTTTAGCAGCAGCTTGCGTTCCGTCTGGGCTGTTATCGTCCACGATAATAATTTCATACTTATACGAGCTACGCAACAAATATTGCTACGTCTACTTACTTGCTGCTCATATGCATATCTATAAGGTAAACCAAAATTGGAAGGTTTTCTCTTTCATTATATGTTGGTAAAATTATGGAATACTGAGGCATTTCCAACACTACAATGAGCAATATTGCTAAATGACCTCGAGTAGGCTAAACCGAAACAAAATCAGATTTACTGAAATATTTAGTTAAAAATGCGTGAAACTCAGATTTAAAATGTATTCTCAGTATAGAGTATTTATTTTAGCAACGCATTCAAATCACTCAAAAAATCAGAGTTTACTCTAAATTGAGGGTCGACAAAAAATAGTCACAAGTGTCACATTTATAAAAGTGATCAGAAGCCGAGTTAAGAAAATATTAATTTGCTGCTGTAATCAGCACAAAGAAATTCCAGGGTACGTTAAGGAAAAAATCATCATCGGCTAGTTTAAGATGCTCCATTAGTTTTAATTCGATTCTCGTTTTTTCTTGGCAATTATTGTAAAGGGTAAGAATGAAATTTCGCATTTTTATAAGTTAATAGCTCCAATTTACTGATTGTACTAATTAATTCTCTAATAAAAAAGCTTTTAATAAGGCAATGTTTTATATTTGAGCCAAATTATGATTTTTACAATCCGAGCGAAAACGACAGGTTACGAAAATCCCCGAAATGAAATAAAATAAACAAAAAATCAAAGCAGCAGTTTTCGAATAGATTCAAAATTTAGACCGGACGAATCAGACAACATCACGTTTACGGGTATGAGAAAGTTAAGTCTTTACTTGGCCTCATGCATTAATTTATCATTTTCCAGATTAAAATAGAAAGTATCGATATGGACTAGCATTTTGTTCGTGAAATGAAGCATCTGAGTGTAACGTATCGTCTCACTTTTCCTTTCATTTATCACATTGTATATAAATTTTGAGTTTGCAGGTTGATTCGGTCATTGAATGCGATAAAGTTAAATGTTGCTGCATGAAACATCGGACTTTTGTCTGTCTTCGCTAAATTCTCAGATCTGTTGTGCGAGTTGAAAAACCTTCCATCATGTCGGGGTCACTAATTGATGTGGGCCTCATCATGTAGTCTTGAACCACGCCGGGGCCACTGAATTAATTCTGGCTCGATTACGCGTCCCTGATACCCGTGATGAAAAAAAAGATCGGAGAGGACGTGGACACAACCGTTCACTCCAGAGCTCAACCACGTTGATGTAGTTTTGTCGTATGTGGTGTTTGCGCGTGTGTATTTATACCTCAGATGTGTGAGTCATACTTGCGCTTACGTCGAGACCTAGGTGTGAGGATAATCCTAGATAAATACTCGTGATAATGAGAGGGGAGTTGAGGATCTGCGCGGATGGTGAAATGCTGCGAAAAGTGTGTTAGCGAAGTCTAATTTCACGAGTTACCCAACAAAGATGAAGTCGGTGGAAGGACAGAGAGTCAACCGTTTATTCGAGGTCGTGACGAAGTCGTGGTTTCTGGTGGGGTTTGTGCGTGTGTATTTATAGCGCTAACATCGAGATCTAGGCGTGAGGTTTGTCCCAGATACATATGCGTGTGAATAAAGGAGGAAGTTAAGGATTTGAGCGGCTATCGCCATGCTGCGAGATAGGGAGCCTTGTATAGGAGGTGAATCGATCGGATTAAGGAGTTGAATGAACACGATTCGCAACAAGTGGAATCCAGTGTCGGAGAATGGAGTTATAGTATTAAGGCGTGTGTATAAACACGTTCAGAACAGATCTTTTCAATAATCCGTTAATTTTTTTTTCATTTTTGATTTAGACCTCTATAGTTATCAACAATTTTGAATTCAGAATGTACAAATGCCAAATTTAGAGGTCGTAACAATTGGCATCAAGATATATTAAGGCCCATCTTGATGCTCGGGAGGAAGATTTTGGAGGTTTGCACAAAGAGGCGGCTGTCTGACAGCATTACTATCAGTCTGAGTTGATAGTTTGTTCACTATTTATTCTCATTTTATCTTACTGACAGTTGAATTACTGTACTGAATATTAGATGTTATTTGAATTCAGAAAGAAAACACGCTATACAAAACAGTGATTTCAGGTAGTTTATGGCACCGGATCAATGAAGTAATTCAAATTAACCTTATAACATTAAAATCACTGCCAGTTGTATTACTGGAATTTATAATAGGTGCTTTTACCAATCTGACGTATTGGGAACTTGGATTTTTAATATGCATTACTGCGGTCACAACCTTTTAAAAGTTTTTTTTTTATTAATCCACCTACGGGTTTTGTTTAATTTGAAGTTATACAATCAAATACCAAGACTTTGAGGTGAGGCAGGTTCATAAGTCCAAGTTAAATTTGTATGGAAAATTTGCTGTGAAATCAATCTAGACAATAAGCTTTATAAAAAGTAGCATTATCAAAATGCATTACTGATTGTGTAATTAAATTGTTACGGCCTATGGGGACATCTGTATTGGTTTCATCATGAAATCGAATACTAGTGGTTTGTAATTGTAGTCGTCTGAGATGTTTTCAGATTATGTCTGGATACTTAGGCCTTCCTCCATATGCGAAACTGTCCAGGCCATTGTGAATAGACAAAAATCTCTAAATTTTTTTGATCGATGTGTGACTCAGAGCAGGTGTAAGTTACTGATGGCTACGCGACGAATGATTTCCGAGTTTAAATGTACGAACCCAGAGACAGGTTAAAACATGATCCATTTTGACTCAAAATCAACGATTTTAAAATAAATCTATCCAAATCGCTACCCTCTAAAAGGTACCAGAGGAAAAATTTTATTTTAAAGGAGTCGTGAATAGGATATCATAATAGTTGCAGCAAAAAATTCTTGAAAGAAGCACAAACGTGCAGAGTAGTCACACTAAACTGGAAATTCGTCACACCTTAGAACCTCTTGTTTTAGTCAAATTTACCTTATGATTCAAATCAAAGCTACTATTTGCTGATTATATCTGTAAACAAATAATTCAAAAAAGATTAATCCAATTAGATAAGGAGAAGCATTCATTTTATGCTTAAACGTTTAAGTTGAACTGAATATTCATGATGGCGGTACCAAGTCCTCTTGACATATTTTATTTTAAAGGCCCTTGATTATTTATTAAAGGAATTAATCAGATAGCGGTATTAGATTTCGACTTAATATTGAAGAAGACCGTTTATGTGCAACACCAAAATTAATTATAAACAAGATTCATTTTTGATATAATGATTGCATGCTTCCACATAGACACCGTATTTGCTTTTAAAAGTGCCTTAAGTAGTGACAAAATAAGCATAACTAATTGTTGACCCCGATACAGGCGACAGATCCTTATTTTAACACCTATGTGTCGATTTTCAAAATCAGTATTGTCACCCTTCCTAGTCAATTTCCTCCAAAATTGAAACTAGGCATTCAAACATCATGTACAAACTAGCTAGTACCATAACAACTCTTCTGAATAAAATAATTAGTACATATTTGCCTTACAAAATCGCAATCATTTAAAATACCTACAGAACATTTACTATAATAATCAAGGGAATCTTTTTAGTAATGGTGCTTTATATTCGGCAAATTTCATGTGCATTCTAAGTACCATTTCACATCTTAATATTCAAGAATTTGGTCGCTGCAGTTACAGTGTCCAATCCAATAACTGTGATCCGTTGCATCCACGCATGTTTCCTTCCTGGTTATTGGCTGTGTCTCTTACACCGTCCATACCTACATTCCCCTATTTCCAAGAAAATGCTAATATTTTCTACCTTTATGCATCGGTTAATGCAGCCTGATTGAAGGTGAGTGGTGGAACATTAATGCATAAATAAAACAAAAACTAGCATGTAAACAATTTTTCGCAAAAATATGCAGAAATTCAGCGATGTCAACTAACTTAAATTTGGAGTTTACTTCAATAAGTCATACTTGGGTTATATGGCCTCATATATGTTAACTAATATAACAGTTTCAAGTTATGTGAAGCCAAATTGTTGAATTTGAATCCAAGTGTGACATTATTAAATAAAAGGGCAATTTGCCCTAAAAGTATCCTTTGACACAGGAATGTCAGAGGATGCCCAATCAAAATGAAGAATAGAAATCAAGACAAGGTGGAAACTGTGTTTCATAGATGCCCAGTGTGTTCTCTGTCACCAACAAATGAGAACATGAAGGAGTATCAACGGTCCAAAACATGAATATTCTGTACCATGTCTGAAATTTGTTTTTAACTTTATTTAAGCGACAAACAAAGACCTTGATTGATTAGAATCACGAGATCGGACTTAGAAATGGCTGATAGACATCAGACCAAGCTGCAATTTTTTTCTTTTCGTGACCGTTTTTAATGTAAGTACTCTGGGAGTCATCAATCACATAGATTCATCCAGAAAGTGTCCATAGATTTTAACCAGTAGTTTGTCCGAGTAGCAAAACATTGTGCAAACATGGGTAGGTGCTTATCGCTATGACTGAGTTCAAACAAAGGGGTCTCATAATTTTAATTTTGTAATAAGCTGTGTTTGCTGAAATTCTTAGGCAGAACCTCATTGTGGGCACATCCTTCTCGTCAATGGGTATCTCAACTGTTTTTTTTGAAATCAACAGGGAATCAGGATAGGCAGCTGCTCAAACAGGAGAAGGTGGAATCCGGTTAGGACAATAATGTGTTCCGAGGACTTTGTAAGTCAAAGAATTTCAGCCTCACAGACTAAAAGCTTTTGGAAATAATCAAATTCTAGTTATTATGCGTGGAACAAGAAAGCAGCATGAGTTTTTCTGTGATGGGCACTTGATACGGTTAATGACCTAGCAAGGTGTAACCTTTTTACCCCTATTGGTTTTAATAAAGGTTCTGTGAAATTAAATTGGAGCAGACGTGGATGACCTGGTGTTGTGTGTGCCGGTAGCACGTCCGGTGTGAGGGAGTTGTGTCACCACCCTCCCAGAACAGGACCACGGGTGGGTCAATACCTTCCCGTTCCCATTTTACTGTCTCAGCTGAAGGCCAAAAGGAAGGTGTAAAATTGTCAACCCCTATTAAAATTTGTCCATGGGAATTTCGCTTTCCCAATATCCGGTACTCGTTGAGCGAATGTATATCTTAACAGCTATGCCGACACATGTCAATTCCCAGTCAGCAGCAGGAAGTTAATCCCTAGGACACCGTTACTAATCGTCCATACTACAAGCAATAAGCTTGTTTTCATGAATTGTACAAATTAACTCAAAGCATGTACTTGGGGTGAGAGAGGCTACTGTAAAATTTATAGTTTCGAACAAGGCTGTAATGCAGCTGCGCTTCATTGAAATAATGCACCCTCATGAATTTATTCGTCAGATTAAAATATTTGGTGTCCAAATAATTTAAACTTTACTGATGATGTCTACGTGCTCATATTTACACTTGCAACAAGCCAAGTCTTGATAAATGGTGCTGTTTTGATCAGATCATCGGAATGCCAATTTGAACTCGGACCAGTTAAAGCACTTGAAGGATATGTTGCATTCAGGTTGTATTTTTTACGAGGTAGCCACTTGTTTATGAAACTAAGGAAACTAATGCTGTCAGACCTTTGGCTTCCCGCATAAACACAGTCAACACAGCTTCTTTGTGGAGACCCCCATATCTGTCCTCGCAAGCATCAAAAGATGTGTTAATTCAATTTAGTTTCAGTAGTTAGTTTTCAGGTTGGTATTAATTATTATCTTAGGATTGAGGGTGAATTGGCAGGTAGAAAATTGGGTAAGATTTTTCGAATGATGGAAAAAAACCAACCTCGAAGGTTAAAAAATTCTGTGAATTTGGCTAAGGAAAGATGTGACTCCGACGAACCATGGATGTTTTTAGATTTTTAATCACGTAACTGCGTTACAATTTGTCAGCCACGTTGATGCAAGGTAATGTATTGATTGGTTGAATCATAGTAGCAACTGGTAAGAGTGCCACCATAGATCAGTTTTACTCATCGCGAAGACGTTTCTGGTACCAGTTATGTGGGGGGGGGTGTTACTCTCACGAACATCGTGCCATCGTTAATTTAGAGAATTTGAGTATTCAAGTATGATATGTATGGTCTCAGCGTGGTATAGTAATGCGCCAGCATGCATTTTGATTTAAAATAATAAAGTTGCCTAAATGTGATAGAAAAGTAGGCCCCTCAGGTTGCTATTGCATGCCTTACATAAACATCTAAATTTTTGTTTATAATTAAAACGTGGCTTCCATAATACCCTAAGGCATCTAATATCAAAGTGAAGTAAGACTACTCGTAATTTTATTTCATTGCACCTTAATAAATATAGCCTTTAGTAGTTAAAGCCAAAATTATGATAAAGTATTTTGGATTTTTCTTAAACCAAAATAACGATAACCAAGCTGAAAGATGCATAAAGATAAAATATAATGCAACAAATTTGTATTAGATGCTTTCATTTAGTGTCCGATTTAAAGTTCTCATAGGCGGAGGTTTTAAATCCTAATTCCGGTCGAAAGAGGTGATACTTTGCGGCCAAAAGGCCCAACCCCAGAGCACAAATTAGGAAATTTCCAAGAAACACAACGAATGCATACTGCACAAATATGCCTCCTTCAAGGGGGCCAAGTAGGAAGGCAAAATTACTGACACATCTCAAGTACGAGAGGGCACGATCAAGGTCATTTGGGGGAACAAGCTTGGTGTAGAGGGATTCAGTAACGGCAAGCGCCAGGGGCATTCCAATAACATGGATGGCAACGCCAGCTATCAGTAGAGGAGCCCCGAGTTCAACTGTTAGGCTATTGATAAAATAAGTCGTGAATGTAAGCCACGTATAGGCGCACACCAACAAAATGAATCCAACCAGGGCCAGCCTTCGGTCTTCAACATACTGCGAAATAATGTGCAATATTATGCACATGATAATCAGCAGTCCACTAGCCCCAAGGTAAACATAGCTCACCTTCACCTCGTCCCAATTAAAGTGAACATCCACAACAGGTGGAAGGACTGTCTCAAGACTCATTACACAGAAGTAGGCGGCAAACACCATTAGATACATTGAAAGTACTGCATAAGTCCTGTACGGCTTCAGTTCATTGCAGTCACAAGCGCAACAACTACGGTCACTTGGTGTGGACTGAATGAGCCTAGCTGATTCTGATTTTTCGCTTGAAGACGTGAGATGAATGGCGTCTCTTGGAGGCTTTTGTACTACGGGATAGAAAAAAATGACCAACAGGGTGTGAATCACCCAGAGAGCGGCCATAAGCAAGCCAGGTCCGTTGTAGACGCTGAGTTTAAAGTCGCCCATAGTCCAATGAAGTTTGTGCATTAAAAGTGTGCAGACAGGACCAAAAACAATTCCAATTTGCTTGCAGACGAAGGTCACAGCCATGTACGGGGTCCTCTCTTTGATCGAGGTGGTTCTTGCGAGGTCAGCATACATTGGTGTATCACAGCTACCACCAATGCCGGATATGAACCGACCTGCCAGGACCACCCACGGTTGTTGTGCGACAAGATATGCGAGGTTGCCAAGAAGTTCAATGATATTAGCAAAAACAAGGAGATGTTTGGTTTGAATTCCACGGTGAGCAGCATAGCCATAAACTGGAGTAAAAATAAGCACAGAAAGACTAAATGAAGCCATTGTCCATCCGTACCACGACTTGGCAACTTCACCGCTCCAATAAGTTGTGAAGTAGAGCCACATTGTGGGCAAAATAATTGCACGTTCCACATTAGTGAGAAATCCCCAGAGTGCCGTCAAAACAGTAATGGGTACCTTCATTGGGACAGTTTTGCTGCACCCACAACCATTACAGACGGTACAGCACTTGGTCCTTTGTTCGGAGGGCATGGATGTTGTATCGGAGGGATTAATGGAGGCAAGAGGAGGTTCTTTTTGAACCTCAGTCATTCCGCCTCGAAGTTTGAAAACCTAACGATCAGAAAACGTAGTTGCAATCACATGAGAGCAATCTACAGGTAGCAAAGTTCTCGTGCAATTCAATCGATTGGTAGGCAGGCACAAAAGTCGTGATTGGATAAGCACGCGCATGCGTGTGTGGTTGTAGAAGTGCGAAGAGGCGGTGCAAGAAAATTTCCGCATTTTCAATGTTGGTTGGACTTAGTGTTCCACTGGCACAAGCCACGGCTTTCCGATGTCTAATGACTCAGACTCGGGGTTAAAGATGCAAAAGCGATTGTTATTCATCTATTACTAGGCATATATTTCCAACATGTACTAAGGCACACCTTGGATAACGAATTGGCATGTTAAAAATTGATAACAGATGTATGTAAACCTTTTTTGCATTGGAGTGTTTGTTTGTAGGATGACAAGGCGCAACACAAAACCACCTGCTTTATTCCTTTCATGAATTCACTAAACGTTAGCCTTTTTTAAAAAAAAATATAAGGAGGGCCCAATCACACCACGCTTAACTGCTCCAAAAAAACTGCGTATCATAAAGTGGAAAGATTTACTCATAAAGAAGAATTACAACCTTCGCAAGCATACTAGGGCATCAACAAATGATCGCTGCCACATAATTTGTTTGACACTGCGTTTTGAATACCGTTTCCGTGACCACCAAACGAAACAGTGGAAAAAGCAACTAGTGGAAGTGTTTCATTTGCATTTTAGCCACATTCATTGACTTCGACCGATTGACACTAATCAGTAATAGTCAATCAACTTGGCCAGCAAGGAATAGGATGTTAATACAAAATACGAATTAAATATTCTATAATCGGTACATTATGCCTATGTTCTAAATATCTAGCTACAACTAAAGACGACTGGCAAAAAGAATTATTGTAAAGCGCTTACATGCACTACAATGTTACAGCATGCTCGGACTTGGGGCATAATCGAAACATATTTACAAATGAATACATAAGTTCAGTTACATTGTGCGAGACTTCCAGAAAGTGTTTGCTTAAATAAGCCGAGTCCTCATGTAAACATAAAAAAACAGTTTGTTGAACACCCTAATTCTAAGAACTCGATGGAACCCAGAATGGATTAATCAGACGTGTCATTCGATGTCTCTCCTTTGTAACCTAGTTGCAACTGTAACGAGTGCGCACTATAGCAGATTGATGCAACTCTTCATCTTACAATTTTTGATAGGCATTATGTGCATTGTCGTTTACACTATTCACTTCAGTTCCTGCAGCCATGTCTTGTTCTCACACAGCCAACCTCACACGAAACTTTCGAGTAGGCTTCGCTTATTACGATGGCAAAATAACGTGGCGACTGAACCTGAAGAGTCGGAATTTAGCGAGTACATGCCGTAAGCGAGCTGAATTTCAATTAAAGTATCGTATTTAGTCTTGTAGGTGCTCATTGCATGTGCGAATCCTTCCCTGGGTGTGTTGAAAGGACAGACTCATTGTTACGCTTCCTACTGAGTCTCGAGAATCAACCCCTTTTAAAGAAAACATAAATTTGTTTTGAAGAGCAACCGATCAGCTGCCTTGCTACTATTGAAAGGTCAATTTCGAGGGACAGTGTATTGGCGAATTCCAGGAACTCGTGCATAGCTTGTCTGGTAAAAGTCAACGTGATTCTGACCTTTTATCACACCAATACAATCAGATTCTTGAGCACCCTTATACCTTAACTGACTTTTGTCGTACTGGCTTGATTGCACACGACAAAGCTTCATCGGTCAATGCAAACATCCAATGAACCACCAGAAGAAACATACACCGTTCCCGATTGCCCACATTTCGCCCTGCATCAAGCGTGTAGTTTGCGTGAGGTGATTTGGTTTCCACTGCACCCGACAAGAGGTCCACCAACTCCAGCCCCATTATTTTACCTCAACCACGTTCATTTTCATAGGGACAGGGTACATTAGACAACTTTTACAACTGACTACATTCATGTCTAGACTCTCGGGTTTAAACAAAATACAAGCTTTACATTCCCGTAATGCTCAAAAATATCCTAGGCGCAGTCACACAGGGAGATCGTTATACAGCGCAAATCAAACATAGAAGACTTTTACATTTGAAGTTTGAATAGCGAGTGAGCTTTAAATGCTCGAGTACAAATGTAAATCAAGGTCACCTGCAAATGTAGAGAATGATTTAAAAAGAAACCAATTTAGAGTGATTGTGATCAATGGTGAGAGAACAATGAGTAAAGTGAATGGTCCTAGTTGAATTTGGAATTCCCCTTGGGACGAGGGGGCGTGGGGAGGGCACGGGGACGGACGACGGGCTCGTCCAGTTCGCGCGCGCGTTGCTCACTGCTGGTGATGCATTTGCCGGAGAACGTCCTTCTTAGTTATAATACCCAAGAGGCGCCTACAAGTTAAGTGAAGTTAGGCTCTTGAGTTTGCTCGTAAGGCGTCCAACGAGCACACCTTGGCACCCCATGGGCACTGAAGGCGAAGCCAAACAATATGTTCACTATGGGTTTGTTACTTTAAACAAATGTGTAGCGGAACCAATAAATGCAAAAAAATTACAGTATACAATAGTTTACAAAAAACCAGGACTTTTTTAAAATAAAACAGCCTTTAACCTTTCTCTACCAAGAGGAAGAGCTTTGCCTTTATACACATTTTTTTGAAGTGGAAATAAACTTCGAGAAACCACCTACAACGTGGCTATTACGAGTAAAACAACGAACACTCCGTTGACGAGGCATGCTGCCTTGTTGGCAGAGTTGAGCAGATGGGAGAAACTCGGCTGTCTGTGTTTAGATTATATGCAAAAGGCTAAATTATGACAAACACAACAAGTCAAAAATTCAACCATTTACTTGTTCTAAATGACTTCATCTGATAAGGGATAACAAGTAGAGTGAAAAAGCCAACGATCACATGAAATAACTCTAAGGTAAATTCATGCTTTCTAGTCATGGTGACTGTTCTTAATTGTCACAACGTCGATCCAGCCAAAGAGTCAAAACCGGTAACGCTTTTGCAGATGTGATCTCATTTTGTGATCAAAATAAACTGCCTAATGTAGCCTAGTATAAAGCATCTCCCGGGCATGGATAGAAGAGTTTCTGCTATCTGCTCACGGAATAATATGTACCGACTCGGTTAATCCATTCAGTTTGGGGTAGTCTGTTAGGCTCACAGCGAAACTGGAACCTGTACACCACGACACAACGATCACATCTTAATTTGCTCAACATGAATGAGTCAAACAACTGAAAAGAAGCACACACAAGATCATTACCATTGGCGACGACTTTCCAATGACTAGAGTACGACACTCTCAAATCTTGTACTAGATGCCAAATAGGAATGCGCCTGCAAACACCGGTGACAAAGAGTGCTGAGCATAATACGAACAGGGACCCACACTTGAGGCGTTTGTTTTAAGGCACACATTAACTGAGCGAAATACGCGCCAAACAACACCTGTGAGCTTGAGCCCCGTTAGTGCCCCGAAGTACACAAACTGGGTGGACCCGACTCAACAAAGTTGACGAACAAGACATCCGGGGTGGATCAGCAAAATCAACCCGATATCACCAACTTACCCATTCTTGGTAACAAGAACCTGTCGAAGGCCTAATTTCCGGAAAAAATCAAGAACTGTTTCCATGGGTGTTTGGTCAGTGACGGTGATTGGGGACTGAAAGGCACGAAATACATCTTCACTAAGTGCTTTATTCAAGTATCCATGAGTGTTATTCATTTAATGATCAGCCTAACCACCAAGTCATAAATTCAGCTCGAAGCGCACGTAATACATGTGATTCGGTATGCATTAAAACAATTAGGTAAGGCATTTATTACATTAGGAACCGGAGAAATGTTTCTGACGGTTCTAGATTTCATTTAATCGGTTGCTTTTCTTTAAGAAAGACAAACAAAGCGTTAAAGGATAAAAGGGCAGACCGATTTCTAGTGTGGACAACAACATTCTGCACAGCTAGTTATCGTTGATATACGATACCGGCTATTCAGTATTACATGACATAAAGTAGTTTTCATGTGAATAAGAACAATTGCAACAGAATGCAGAAAGAAGGCGGGCAAAATATCTCACAAGGTCGACGATTGCCGAAAGGTTTGCAACGTTCGTTGATAAGCCAAAGTCACCAGCACTATTGCTATCAGTGAAGTAGACAACTGACTCCGTAGAAACATCGGGATTGTACAGCTTCTCTTGTTCTAAAATATAAAGAGAAAATTTCAGCATAATAAGGCACCATAAATCACGGGTAGTATATAAAGGGCAACCTAGCTTATCTTATGAATTTAGGCGTTCTCCAAAGAGCAGCAGCCGAAAAACAAAGTTCATGAACAGCTAATCCTGAAGAGATATCCACTGCGAGTAAAATGAGGACAGTTTTAGGCGACACCAGACTTTTGTAGCTTAGCTTAGCTTGTTTTGAAGATGCGCGAGTTTTCTGCATGTTAAAACCACCCCCTATTTTTTCCCCACGTCCACGCACCCCAATTTGGAACAAGTGTGTATGTGCGCATGAATCTGACTGGCAAGGACGGAACCCCAGAATGCAACTTAGTATTTACATTCACAGCGGGCATGCGTTGTCTGTAGAAGTTGTACCGATAGCCCGAGTGGCAAGACATTCGGGCACAAAAGTAGGAACTAATAGTGATTGCGACTAATAATACGATTGCTCATGCTGTAAAACAACTGGCTGGTTATTCGTCTTTCTAATTGTAAAGGACTGGAAAAAAAAACAGTAGACTTGGTCCAAGATATAACGTTGACCGTTTACATACCTAGAGCCCGCGTAAGGTCCCTCCTCGTAATCCAACCAACCAGATATTGGGAATCTTCGGAAACAACAACAGGAAATCCCTTGAGAGTTGAAGAAGAGAGGAGATATTCGATGTCCCCAACGGTCATCGAGTTCTGGGTCACGACGAGCAGAGGAGACGTCTGGGCTCTTGAATGTGTGGATAAATAGAAGGAATTATGTAAACATGAAAAGTAGGGAGGAATGTCAGGTAGCAGTAGAAATGCAAACAATATTTGCTGACTTCGATGTAAAACTGTACCAAGAACGCTATCAGCAAATTAATGATTGCCTATGGATAAACTATATACTCGATAATTATAAGTAGTAAACAAATTCAACAGAGCGGCCAGGAATTATTTAATCTGTAGCCCCTACAAACAATTGAGACTTGAGCTCTAGATTAACGCGTCAGGGGATACAAGATCACACGTAGCAGCGCGCATGCAACAAATCCACGAGTTATAATGCATATGGATCGGCTTGGTTCCTGTGATCACAGTGACCCACCAACAGCAACGCGAGCTCTTTCGGCTCAATGCTACTCCTTTCGAAAAATAAAAAGGTGACGAGGGTGAAGTGGATAGGACCACTGAGAGGAGACGATGGTGAGAAAAGAGCTTCACAGGGGTTCCACTCGCAGTGCGAACTCACTTGGGCTGCATTACGTCGGCCGCGATGGAGGTGTGCGTGAGCTCCTCCCGACTGCTCAAGTAGGGGTAGTTGTTGAGGCGGATGTGCTCCTCATAAATACTCCCATTAGTCAGGCGGTCCCCTGTCCACTTGCTGACCATTGCTGCCACCATCAATGGCAAAATGTACGTCAAACTAAAATGAAGAAAGTACACAGTCTTCTGCAAACCTTCTGGTACACTTTGAAATACGAATTAGCCAAATGGGAAAGCAAACAGCAATTTCTTTGGGGATAGGAGCTTACCCGCCGGTGAGTTCAAGCATGACGACAACCAACGAGATTGTCATTCGCGTCACACCGCCCAAGGTAGAGGCGGCTCCTACGAGAGCGTACAAGCCAGGGTTAATGCATGGGTGAGCCGATTTGCACATTCGCTGAACAAGTGGATGATCCGCATGGTGTACGACGAGCTGCTCTATCCCAACTCCCAACATACGTCCCATCATTGCCCCGACCTAACCAAAAAATAAGACATAGACTAATAATATGCAGACAAAAACTTGGCAGCGATGACGGAACACGTACTGCAAGCGAGGGAATAAATAGACCTGTGGGAACTTTGATGCCAAAGGTGAAGACGGTGATAACCGACTTTAAGATGAGCGTGACGGCAAGCATCCACATTGCTCGGGAGATGCCAGGCCCAGCTGGATAACTGCCCATCATGGTAGCTTGAGTGTCGCTCAAATTCACTCTGTAATCGCTAAAAATGGAAAATGCCATCAAATTATCATTAATGAAACAAAGAGGCTTTGTTTCGAAATTTGGAGACACACTGACACTTGAAGAAATTACCAGTGTTTTTAAAATGGCAAACAGCAATACGTCAATGGAAATAGGGTAAAAGATCTAAAGAAATGCATTGCACCGTTAAACCCGTTTGCCACTAGTTAATGGCAATCATAATCGTAGCTAAATGCAAGAGGGAAACACCGTGTTCCAGAAACAGAGACTGGGAGTGGTCAGTGAAAAGATATTCTGACTGTCGTGTAGGCCTAAAATGAGTACTAGCAGCATACGAATTTGGACACTTCCAGCTAAAACTATCAAGCTCAGGCTCCAAGGGAGTTGACACGTCAATAAGTGAACCTTTTCCAAGTTGGGCAAGCAACCCAGTCTCGGGAAAGGGTAAACTTGAGCCTTAGAAAACGAAAGGAGGTGGTGGTTTACCAGAGAACACCGAGGTCTCCAGGGCCGCATCTGCTCACCATAAGGCGGATGAGATCGCCCATGTTCATGCGCATGTAAGGCAGCGGGAACGAAAGAACCGCCGTAACCAGGGTCACCAGCAACACCTCGCGAACAGGGTACTTGCCCAGCCACGTTGTTTTACGCAGGCGACATATATAGAGGTTCGAACGATTAAAAAGGGTCCCGAATATTCCCTAAAACAACGCCAACAAACGGTTTCATCTCGTTATGCCATGGATGAGATAGTGTCAAAGTAAATGTGCTGACTTACCCCCAAAAATCCCAAAATGGCAAACGGAATCAGCTCTGCAATGTGCCACTGGGCTTTGTAGTCAATTTGGAACATGACAAGGTGCTCATCTCCATAGGGGTTGATCATACGGACGAGATTGGCGGAGACCATGGCGCAAAAAAACGAACGAAACATTGTCTTCATGGGGAAATAATAGGAGGCCTCTTCCAGGGAGAAAAGCACTCCTCCAATCGGAGCGCCGAAGGCCACAGCGACGCCGGCAGCTGCAGCCGCGGACAAAATCTGCGTGGAGAAGAGCACAAACGGAAAGACGGCTCTTGAGTGATACCAGAGCAGCGATTCACGTGCAAGCTTCTTTTTGTAAACAATGGCTATGGTTGATGAACCACAAGTCGAAATGACCAACACACGCTGTCTAGACTCTAGCGCGTGTCGTAAGAACAAATTAAACAAACCAGCCTGGCCGAAAACAAGTTACTTTAAAGTTACTATGTAGACAAAGTTGTTGCGGAGCAGAAATTATGAAATCTACCACTTCATAACACAAGTGGCACCTAAAAAAATAGTAAGGGACGGTTGATGACGTATTTTCTAATAATACGTCTGTGATTGAGACGTCAGAGGCATAAATTGTGAATACGAACGCATTTCGCAGAAGCCTTCTTGGAGAAATTGAAAAAAAATGTAGTGGTAGGAAAAAGGAATAATGACTTGAAAACAGTCGCCTAACGTACTTCTCGTTTCTTGGCCTCGTTTTTCGAGTACTTGGGGAATAGGTAGGAGAGAATGTTGCCGCAGCAGGACGCCATATGGACCATTGGACCTTCTTTACCCAGACTTAGACCAGCAGACACACCGAGGATCATGCCTAACGACTTGACCAACAGTGTCCACTTGCCAAGGTATCCGCGAATGATGAAACCGCTGAGAATGGTTTTTATTTCGGGGATCCCAGAGCCTGTGCCGAAGGAAAAGCAACAAGTTGTAGAGCGGATTTTCGGGACGAAGATGACCACACGACGTGAACGGTAAACATCGCTTACACTTATCAAGGAACCGATGTTATTTGAAACCCTTGCTTTTATGAAATCACAAAACAAAAGTTTCATGATTGTTTTCGCATATGCGATTGAGTTCCCACTTATTGAAGGGTAGTAACCTTGATCTAGAAACATGTATTTTTACAGGCATTACAGCAACTTGGCAAGTTTTTAAAATGTACACACTGGACTGGGTCAATTGAGTCGATGGTTAAAAACGACAAATTTCATCATTTCGCGTTCAGTTGGTAATAGAGGAAAATAACTGACCTTCAACTGATGACAACATGAGAACTGAATGGCTACATATAAATATTGAGCTAGTGATTTGTGACACGCACCAAAAACGCTTTGTGTAAGGCGCATCAGCGTGCTACAAAATGAGTAAACTCTGTTCAACATTGATTGTTCTACGTCGAAATGGTCACATTATTTTAGGTGAGGCCGAATAAACTTTCAGGTGTTATGGATACAAGGCTTGGTTCTCAAGTCGTCAAAAAACCTAGTCTCGATATATTTTCTCAAACACTAGCTACGAAATGCTAAACAGCGGGTGCTATCGCACCAGAGGACAGGGGTGATGGAAAGATAACACGACGATGCAAACACAACCGGCTATTCACTCAGTAGGCAAGTTAAGTGCCAGTGTGAGGTGAGTGGAGGGCGTACTTGTAGGGCGCATTATGAAGAGTGAGGAATGGGGGCTTCATTGAGCCAATGAACAGCTGGGAAGGGGGACACAGAGAATGAATGACTAGACAACTGCACTGAGTGTAGATTAGTAACCCGCAACAGTGCGGCTGTTTCACCTTGGCACCAGAACTGTATTTGTTAAAACGTTAACGACTGCACATAAAGAAAATTGTTCCCCTCTTTTAACATTGGCAACCCAATCGTTAACCAGTGACCTCCATCTTTGTGCAAGAAATCATAGCCACGTTGGCAGATGTGGGTGCTTTCGACATTCCTAATCTCACCGCCAAATAGCAGAACATGTCATAATTGCGCGAAGTTTCTTCTAATCGAGTTGATGTTGAAAAAACAGTTCAGGGGCTCTTCTGACAAGAGGGTTGGGAATGTCCAAGACACCACAGACGGTAACATGGTGGCTATTGATTTCCAACAGTCACTATCTGGCGACGTGTGAAATTTGCGGAAGGCCAATCATGGCTTCCGGGTGTGAGCTCATTAAAAAGCCCGACAACTGGCTGTGAATCGATAGTGATATTCAGCATGGGGCGAAATTCGTGCATAAAAAGCGACTACAAGACAGATGAAAGGTGAATGAAACTAATTTAGCTAGAAATAGTCGAGTTTAAGATAGGAATTCACTAACACGACTGCTAACAGCTGTGACGGAAAAGGAACTTAATACATAATTTGAATGAAGTAGCCCGAACTTCGTTTGTGACCTGGTTCTTCCTAATATGGAAGAAGAAGCTGGGATGATACTGTTGCCATAAAAAACATGGGTCCTCATATACACTCAAGTACAATCGAGGAAGCAAATTAAAAACTGGGAAGATTACCTACAGCAATCTTTCATACTGGAACAGTGCAGATTAAGATCAGTGTGTAACATTTAAAAACAATGGCGATCCAAGTACAAATAAGAATACTGGCTGTTGCCTAAATCCATCATCGATTTTGCTATACTTAGCTACCACATGAAGGCATTTGTGCATGAATTTCGGTCAATGTTGGGAATCACTACGAGCGCGCTATCCGGCGCCTAAACAAATGACGCAATTATCAAACGATTAAGATTAGTTATGAAATCTAGTCGTGTCCGATGCTGGTTTAAAAAGCGCAAGACAAGTTTATCGCCAGTTAGAAACATCTCACCACGTGATAAGACTGGATAGGTGTTACGAACTAGGAGTTACTGACACCAAAAAACACCACTATTTCAACTGAGCGTGCTCACAGATTATCATAGGGCATCCACAACGTAGCCCAGACCTTGCACTCTCTGATACTATTTGTTTGAAAGTAAGCATGCTCCTAAAACGGCGCAAAACGGAAAATTTCAACTTAGTATAGACAATTGGGTAAGTTTTCAGAAGTAAAATCCAATAATAAAGCAAGAGGAATGTATCGGACACTACAGATATGGAGAGGCGTTAATGGCTAAGCTGGTACATTCAACATTGATTGATTTTTTATGTTATAAACAATTCGAAAACGATAATTATGTGAGAAGACTTACCGCATGCGTATGGAGCAAACATCCGAACGAAAGCAACGCACAGACCGGAAAAGGCGACTGCCCACAGCACAAAAATGACGTAGGCAACAAAGTAGGCATCGGGATGGTCACCTGTCGGATTCTTGTTCATAACTAAACGCGACCACGAGTACCACTGGCAAAAGAAGTATTTGTTAAAAACAATCAAAACATAATTTCTAAGTCAAGCAGACAAAACACAAAACACAACACAGAAAATTAGTCGTGTTGTTACGCCTCAGGCATTACAGCAAGATTAACATTAGCATCTGCGTAGATGCAACAGAGCTATTTTTTGGATTACCTACCAGAGACTAACGATGACCTTCTTATGAAGTATTTATTTGAAACCCAATGACAGCCTCGCGACGGTGTACCTCGGATCCGGAGGAAGCAAAACCAATCAATAAATCTCGGCCAAATATTCACCGGTTGGTGCTTTTGAACCATTATCTATCGACCCCCTATTATGCCAACTTAAATTTCTTAACCAAAAGATTAACTATTTGGTAATGGGACAACTCACGAATGTTAGATTAGTATGGACCCTTCAGCACAAGATCAAATTGGTAGTTTGTAATCAGTTGCAGATCATGTGCAGGCCAAATGACGTGGGAAATAATGTTACTTTCAAAGAGTGTTTACGTGAAGCAAGCAGGTACCAACAACTTTTTTCAAAGCATCTGGAAGTGCCAAAAAAATTACTACGCGTAACAAAGTGGCATTATTGAACGACCTCACAAGCCTGGAACAACCTATTCACACTGTTCTTAAACTCGGTCATGACTTTCGGGCAAGTTGAGACACCTGAAATTTTACATAACAGCGAATGTAAACCATCAATTTATAGTATACCAAGTAAAGCAGGTTTCCATAAAACTAAGCTTCGTATTCAAATATTTTGCTAGTTAACTTATACGGCAAAATTGATACGGTGGCACAATCAAAGATGTTCAGAAAAGCCGTCTGTACACTAGTGTCTGAGCAGTGGCTTGAAGGGCATGGGCAACTACAAGAGCATCCACACGACGGTTGCAAAGGGAAAAATATTCCAAGTTATTCAAATGAGAATTCCCTTGTATGTACACGAGCAACTAACCTCCGGACAGTCTTCACCGGGGACGTCAGAAGACCAACAACATTGAGCGCGGTTAAACCAGAGTGCGTCAAGACAGACCCCCTCCTTCAAATCAGTGAGCCAGGGTGTCCCGATATCGATTAGGGCCGCGATCAAACCAGCGGCTATTCCCACAAGGCTCACACACACCCAACCTGAAGCCGAGTTCCAGTATATGCGGAGACATCCAAGACAAGTATTCTGTGTAGCAATCCGAAATCAATTCTTTAATAACACATATGTACGCTCAATTATATTTGCCTAAATAACCGGGAATTTGGTGGGTTGGGCTGGATGTCTATGCTACGTGATGGATGTCCTGTTTAAACATAAGTTAGCCTTTTGAAAAGTGTTTTGTGCACAAAACTAACAATAATAAGTTTCGCAAAATAAGTTACGGGCAAAACACTCCCGCAACACTACCGAACAGGGTCATGTGATTCAAGTTTAACATAATAATACTTCAAATTATTTCGCACTCTAAGCATTCAGATTGGGACAAGAGCAATGGGCTAAGCTGTGAAAAAAACAGAACAAGTTTTGAGTCCATACATATTAAATATACTTGCTCATTTTAATGGGAAACAAAGCCGCTGAACAGATGTTACTTGAAGCGAGCAGGGCCTCAATGAAATAGACTTGACCGAATACCATTCGACTCATTCCAATGTGACTTGATTTTAAGATCTGGGTTTAACAGAGATGTGGACCAGTTACCACCTGCAGCCAAGACCACCAACCAAAGCAATAAAGTACAAGCCCTTTGCGGGTCTCTGCTTAAGCGTAACAGACAGCAATATATCTCAGCTCGAATTGAAAGCGCCATTTGTCAACCATTTGTGTGCTGCTTCTCAAATAAAAAGCGACAAATCAAATAACACAAATAAAATTCAAGGTATCAAAAACAAACCTTGTCAGAGTGAATTCGTCGATGGCGATCTCGATCACAAGCTATATCTTTTACCCAATCAATCGTTTCAAAATCATCATACTGTTGACCCTCGGGTTTGTGAGACACGGGATGTTGATCGGGACGACGACTGGTTGACTTCGGAAGTGGTGAAAGAAAATCGCCACCAGGCGATGTACGAATAAACTTTGTAGACAGACCTTTGGTAATAACAAAAATTAGTCAAAATCGTTTCAAAAGTTAGAGCCTGAATGCAACTATTCCAAATACACACAAGCTATACTTTGTACACCATGACAGGGAAATACATTACTAATTGAAACGCCATACATAAATTGGCAGATATAACATACTACCAGTTTCGACTGGTGAGGACTTTAGATGAATACTTAACTAATGAGGAACTAAAACTGCATTGGTCACAGTAACAACAAGCGATGCTAATAACATGGTAAAAAGTAACGATCAAACACTAATAGGAAGCTATGAATTTGCACACTGAGAACGTAAAAACAAACTTTGGGCATAATTCGATGAATTTGGAGATGCACTGTCAGATTCAGGAACACTGAATGTAGTAAAACGCGACGCCTTTTTCGTAGGAGCAGTGGGAATTGTGCTTGGGTCTGCAAATGGGTTCACAGAGTCATCCATTGATGGTTATATCGACAATTGTGCCCGTTCGTTGAAAAACTATAAAATTATTGGATGTTTCATTTGATTAGGTATTATTAAAGTCGAAGAAAATAAGGAATTTCAGAATTTAAAGTCAACTTGAGAATTTACTTTAAAGCGACAGAAAAAATGCATAAAAAGTTCAAAGAAGCCATTAGAATTGAACAAAATGTTTTATTTCTACAAAAGCACTGTACACAAAAACACAGAAAATAAAAAGAACACTAAGTCAAAAACAGTGGAAACGTAGGGTAGTAGATATTTGACAGCTGAAGTGGTCACGCTAATTTTGTGCTTAATCGATATTCGAGAGGCATCGGGTGGTCCTGTAAAAGAAAAATATGTGAACATCAAAGAACATTGAAACAATATTAACATGTAAGAAATTTATGAAGAAACGAAAAAACGCTTTTCAATTAGCAAGTAGTGTGTGGAGTAAAAACTAGTAGCTGGATTATGCATTTAGCAGGACATCCAATAAAGTTCCTTAACTCACGTCATTCCAATAGACAACTCTCACAAACTTAAGGACATGGTCGCGGCCCAGAAACGTTCCACTTGCACAGTTGTTGATGAATATATCAATCTAAATAACATTAAAAACAAGCACGACAAACCAGAAACAAGGAAACGAATATTAGCAATAATGAAAGTACCTCGTTGAACTTGGATACATCACTAAGTATCTGTTGAGCTACATATTTTCTGAGGTGGGTAACAGTAGCTTTCGAGGAAATGCGCAGAAATTTCAAATTCAAAGGCTTGAGAGAAGCAGACCCAGGTTCAAGTTTCACATGGACCTGATCATCGTTGCGATGGAAATTTGGATCAGCAGCTGGCCCTCTTACGTGGACGTTTTTGTTTGACCCTTCAGGAGAGGAGTGGCCGTGAAGGATTTTGTGTTCATGAATAAGGTCTAAAGATAGTGGCAACATGAATCAAGACTAACCAATACGAATTTAAGCCGAGAACGAAAGCCTTACCTTCGGATGGGGGAGGCGTTTGGCCAATTGATCGGTAGAAATCCGATCTAGCTCTTCTTTCAACTATGTCATAAGTTAGCTGAAGAAAGAATTACCCTCTTTCAAATGGGGAACAATTTTATAAACAATATCTTGCAATGTGCGGTCGGCACTCCATAAAAAGGCACTATATTTAAAAAGCAACTATACCTTATGTAGTTCAAGGGATGACTTTGATGAATTGTTATATCACAGACGGGGCAAGTATTTTTTGTGGCCAGGTATTTTACGATGCATGATTTACAAACTGAAACTTAATAAAAATTATTTTACTTACACGGATGAAGGCATTCGGTTATGGAAACTGCATCTATCAAATAACCGTGACAAATATTACAGGTAAGATGTGGGTTGAGATACGTCAAACAAATTTTATCACTATTCGACGGTTCTTGCATAGTAAACCACACGAGTTGCAATAAAAATACAACAGGCTAATCCAACCCGATGGTTTTCAAAAGCAGCGGGAAAGTAAACGGTCGAAGTTGTCCAAACTCAATGATGTTAGTACATTTCTGCGAATAATAACATTACAAATACTCAGTAAAACATACAAAATTAGGTCTTTTATGCTGCATAATTTTTTTAAAAGACATTTCTTACTTGTGAGTAACTCGGTCATTATTCAAATCGTATTAGGTTTCGGCTTGAGACCACTGTATCATTATGAATATAATGCTTGATCCTTACCTAAGCAGGCATTTACTGGCACACAATTAAAAGCAGACACCTTTCGATTGAGCATTTTAAATCGATCAAAAGCAACGTCAGCGTATTTTTCAACTTCATTTAATGCCTCCCATTTTCTTACGTTTGGAAAGATGAGAACATGTCGATGAGTCAGTCATCAAACTAGTAATACGAACTTCACATAGCATATACCTATTACGCATCTTGAACAGACTTTGTAGTAGCCTTTTTTAGAAAGATAAATGTAAGATTATAGAGAAATGAAAAATTGGGACGATATAAACCTACTTCTGAAATAATAGTTAAATTTGTTATCGCTCAAATTGTCTTTTAACAAGATAAGTGAATGATATATGCTGCTTACAAGAAATTAGTGATTTAAGAAGGGTAAAGAAACAATCCGACTTCTTAACATGAAATAAAATTTCATGTGTGTGAATTAAATGTCTATAATTTTATTCATCCACAGCAAACATTCTATAAGTACACAGATGTTAAAAACTAGGTACCAAATAATACTGATAAATGTGCGTCCTGTTCTTTATCAGTTTAGTAGCATTTTAATTGAGTTGGTCTTACCAACTCTGCCTAAAGGTTTACCATTTTTAATGTGATTTCGTAGCAAAGCCGATGTTATAGGGTTGCAATCAAGGTATCAAAATGAACATCTATGAATTTATTTTCTTTAGTTTATCCCTTTAGAATTTAGCACAGTATGATGTTAAATGGCTCAGGTAATTTAAAAAATAGTGTCTTATGGCCATTTCTTTTATATTGGTTTTAACCATTAATTTTCACGATAAGTGTATATGTCTTACTGGCTTTTAATTCAAAAGCCTATTAACGCTCATTTAAGAGCAAGAGATCACAACATTAAAAATTTAAATTTTGTAAAGTATAAATTTCTGAGAAGCGTTAATAGTATTGATTAGGTATCCCTCTTTCACAAGCTAAGTGAATCTTAATTAGAAATATGGTCCTTTATTCGTTGCTAATGCTCAATATTTATTATGTTGCAATGTTTTTGATATTGTTTAACTGACAAGGTGGATGGATTGATAGCCTCGTCAAACTGTGTTCTGGACGTCTTTCGGCTTAAAATTTGCAAGTTTGCAACATCAATTAAGTTCTACTAATCGAAATAAGGTTATTTAAGCATCATATTACCATTTTAAGACCTTAAAGTTATATTTGAGCTCGTTCTAGCTCACCCAAACAAAGCCATGGAAGAATTACTTTGAAAACACTTAATACATCAGTGACCGCTTCGTATTCGTATTATTGAACCTATCAAAAGATTGTTTTTCAAGTGATAAATTTGGCTTAAAGTAAAAACCAAACAAATTTTAGTTTACATAACTAGAATTCGCTATGGTCTACGCAGACTATGCCGGCTTTATTTTTATCTCCACTATTAATTTTGGCAAGTAGCTCACCTGATTTCCCTCGTATTAACTGGTGTTGCTGATAGTACCAACCTGTGGCAACACAGCAAGTCAACGTTATAAGGTATTCAAATTTGAGGCTCAGTCTGTGTGTTACAACAGTGCAATGTATCGCGCCGCGAAGCCCCCTGCTCACTGAAAGAATAATTTTCCAATTACAAAACGCCAGTCTTAAGCCCTATACCATTTGACCGGCTCTTTTCCCGCAAATTAATAACAGTGCATAGCCAACGCCAATCACGTTTGTGAGAAAATATATTTGCTATCAAGTTCAGCGTATCTAATTTGTCAAGAGCCTAAACATCCGCCTTATTTTTAATGTCATCAATTTGAAAATTGCACTTGTTTCCCCTGTTTCAATTTTATCTAAGTCTCTGAAAAATTGTGAGCATTTCTAATTGCACTTGCGCACTAACTCCTTGTCTTATTTGAATATTGTTATACGGGATATGGGGTTCAAGAGATAAGTTGATGTGTTAAGGCAGCGCAGTTATTTAGGTAACGCATAGAACTCTTCTTTTTTTGGGTAATTAGTAACATGATTTTGCTGTAACCTCTTACTTGGTGTAGTTAATCTGTGTCCATAATTTTCCATCTCAGACATCATTAAATGACTTCAGTTGTAATTAACACTACATCGCTTCTCAATTCATTGCTGGAACCGTACAATTTATTTTCTATTTATCACCTAGATTTATTGCCTGCAATTCGTTCCTAGCATAATTTTTATTTCCTAATTCAATTTATTTAGGCATATTCTTAAACTCTTTGAGATGTATACGTTGATCAGGAACATTTTTTCCCTTCTTTGTGCTGTTGTCATTATTTGTAAAAAAATTGAGGGCTTCGCTTAGCAGCACCATAAATAACTATTACGTTTGGCGTCACCTAGCTAGTGGCTATGTGTGTAATTAGTCACAAGGTGTTTCGCATTTTTTTCCATAAAAATCGTAATAACTACTCTATTATTATATTCGCAGAAGACTATCATTAAATAAATTTCTATTTGTATATGACGGGTTACATGTAATGCACCATGTGTATTTTTTGTATTGACATTTACTCACTATTCCGACTCTACAATTTTTAACGCAGAGTGGCCTAGTAATCACCTGGGTTCCATTCTAAATATTTAGTGTGCTTCTTACACGACGGTGCGATTATGTCACATGGCACGTGAGGAAGGATGCGCGAGTCTTCAAAGAAGAAACACCAATGCTCGCCGGTTATGACAAGCATGAATATACAATAGCTTAATGCTATAACTACAGTACTGGTCACAAAAAATTTAGGAAAATTATCTAAATGACACCAATATTTTAGATAAATTTTCTTTGAACTTACTACTTGACGAGTCACAATACACAAGGAACTAGATAAGCACACATTTCTTAAATTTTTGCAGCAAGTATATTATTATCTTTTAGATATAACCTCACATATACGTGTCAATTTCTATTCCATTAAAAACTCGGCAATGATAAATTTACCATAAATGAATCGGAAGCGTCAAAACACATTTTAAGTTTTGTCAAATTTTTCTTTGGTTTTAAAATCTCAGAATGTTGGTTCAATAATTGCTAGAGAAGCTTGTCAACAACGTGCAATTTTGGAAATTTCATTTCAACCAAAGTCCTGATCCGTGAGCGTCTTTTATTTTACCTAGTTTTTTTTAACCTTTTTTATCGTATGTTGTAGTATTAATTTAGTTTTTCGGCAGATTGACCCTGTATAACCCAAATTGTTAAATTTATGAATTTTTGTTTGTCCATTGAAACAAAATTTGTCCAAGGTTGTCCGTCACCCTGTTCCGCACTCAATTAGCCAATACGTGTTCTTCGGGCCTGCTTCACTTGTGGACTTCTTTTTCGTTAATTTTCTAAGCGAATATGCTTTTGTGTGCTTGTAAATGTCAAAAATTGTAGAAATAAATGGCTTTATCAGTTAAATTTGTTGGTTTTGTTGCATGTAACTGCTTAACTAGAAGCATGAAAATCACTCCTGCAATGCACGATTCTGAACTCTTACGATCCTAATTTAGACCCATCCTATGATATATTTAGTCAAGATGTTACACTGATATTTTAGGTACTGAACCTATTCTAAATTGTGCGTTTTTTCTTCTTGGTCATTCTATTTTCCTTTTGATGGCAGCGAAACAGGCTCTTTGATTAACTCTTATGTCATTTTTTGTAAAGTTTGCCGTTTGCAATATAGTGAACCTGATTTCACATGCTTGCATTCTATGCTCCATGGATTTCTGGGGATTTCAACCTTAAATTTTCACAGTTAAAGTCTTCTTGATTTGTACCTTATTTTTCCTTTTACTCTATTTATTTTGGGTCTGTAATTTGCTACTCGAAAGGATTTTCGCAACTTAATTCTGTATGTATCTGGGGCAACGCAGGTAACATTCTCTTTAATTGTTAAAGCCTGCACTGGTCGCTCGCTGTTACGACTAATTTTGTCGCTGTGTATGAATCATGTTTAGTATAGATTTTGCCCTAGAATTAAAGTCAAATATTCGAATAAAGTCAAGCAGTTTCCGACACCCTTTCTGAGTTTCATATTCAAATAATACAAACTGCTCGTTGTCAAAGTAGCGCATTCGTTGTTGCTTCGTATCGTAATCAATCAGTAAGTTCCATTTTCCCTTGACTAAGGGAGTAACATCTGTTTAAATTTTGCTCGCGTCTGCTTTAGTATTTATTTAGACCCATTTCGCAGAATTTACATATCTATTGTCTTTGTGACTATTTAGCTTGATGGAAGTTTTCAAGGAGCTAACACGTCGGGATGCTGTAAAAGCTTTGTCGCACGAGTTGGAATTTCTCACTTCGGGCATTCCCGACAGCCTGACAACTGAAAAGGAAAGCTTTGCGAGTCAGATGAACGCTTTTCAGAACCTCTTCAAACGTTTCATTGAGACAACTGAGGATATTGACTGGGAGAAAATTAAGCTCCTTCCTGATGAAGTGGTAATGTTCCTAGTGTTTACTTATTTGTTTACTTAAGCACGAGAGACTAAGATTTTGGCTCTTTTTTAGCTCAAACCCTACAATAAACTGCCAAAGGTCACTGACCCCGCTATTATAAAGGAGCAACTGAACAAGCTCGTTGTTATTAAGCTTAATGGTGGTTTGGGTACCAGTATGGGATGTACGGGTCCCAAGTCTCTCATATCAGTGAGAAATGACTTAACATTTTTGGACTTGACCATTCAGCAAATTGAGGTGTGTTTGTTCCCTATCTTGCGTGTTTTTCAATTGGCTTTGTATACATTCAGAAAATTTTCATGAGATTAAATCATCTAGTCTTTTTAGTCCTTATTATAAGGTCTGCCTACGCCTGCTGTTCTTCGTTACTGTGCTATACGTTTTTTGCCGTTCTCCTTTTATATTTCTGTCGTAATTTTATTTCGTGGAACGTAATGGTGATAAGTTATCTTTATTGAAGTAACTTCGCTAATCACACATTGCACGTAGTAATTCTCATAATCCTGTGTCTGCTTTACCGTTCAGAATCTCAATACAACTTATGGATGCAATATTCCGCTTGTCCTGATGAACTCTTTCAATACTCAAGAAGAGACTGTAAAAATATTGCGCAAATACCAGAAGGTCAATGTCGAAATTGAAACATTCGTACAAAGCATGTAAGGCGAGTTGTGGTTTATTCGTTATCGATTAGTTGCCATTGATAAAAAATTGTATTTACATTATTTTGGTTTATTTGGATTTTGGTTGATCAATTTTATATTATACTGCTCATCCCTTGAATCATCCGCGGATTTTTTACTTAGAGAATAAGAGAAGGCACACTAAATGCCCAGTGCCTGCTCAAATTCTGGTTACTTATCTCATTTATGTTGTAGAATTAGGAAACTTTAATATTTTTGAAAAGTTGAGATCAGCCCCATTTTTGTTCCATTAGTATTCTGCGGATGTAATAGTTTAATAATTTAGCAATTATTCATTTCCATGTTGGCTATGTCAAGTTTATATTTGATCCGCATATTAGAATGGCATTTTGTGCAAAATTCCAATGTAGCGATTACGCGTACGATAGAATTTAGGGTACATTTAGGTTATTTGGCACCGGCCATTTGATAGCTCCGTAGAACTGCACATTTAAGTACTCAGTGAATCAAATTAATTCGCGTCCTTTGATAGTGTGTTCTGTCACAAATTCCTTTTATTTTAAAACTAAATAAGTATGAGAAATGCCGGAAATTTTTTATGCGTTTTATTATGGGATGCGCGTACCTGGTATACATAACGGTGTTATCGGTTACTGAGTTTCGTTGATGGTTTACATTTTTTAGCTTTTTCTAGGTATCCTCGCTTAAATCGGGAATCATTGCTGCCCATTGTGAAGCAGGTTGATCCTGCTCTCCTTGTAGGATCCAAGAAGACAGAAAACTACGACATTCCGGCCGTCGACCTCTCTGGTTGGTACCCCCCAGGCCATGGTGATGTGTATCGCCGTTTCTGTCAGTCAGGGTTAGCTGAAAAGATGCGCAAGGCGGGCAAGGAGTGGATATTCATTTCTAATATTGACAACCTTGGTGCCTGTGTTGATCTGAGTAAGTCTCCCCTCTTTTGGACTCTAGTGGTTATCTTTAACTACTTCCCTGTAGTTGGCAGCAAATTTCGCCTGTGAACGAACTGTAAGGGGACAATTTGAGTATCCGGAAGTGCCAGTGCCGCTATTGGAACATTTATTGTAACAACGACTGGGGGTAGTTTATTAGATAAACTGTGTATTCATCGGTGACTTGTGTTTATTACTCGTGTAGGTGTTCCGATGTATGCGCAGATGACAGTGTAGGTATCACAATTTACTTAAATAAGCTACCATGCACACACACGCGCACTTTAACTTACTTGTGTTTGAATTTCATGCTGATATCCTTAATATTCCCTCCATATTTGTGGTTGATTCAAAAAATCCCAAGGCGAAATTCTTGTTGATTTATCGTCGCAGTAGTTTAAATGTGTGTACATTTCTGAAAAGTCATGTTTATAGCAGAGATGTGGCGTTTTTACAAAACTTATTTCCGAGAACCGGTTTGCCGATGAGATCCAGCTAAATTGGCAAACGATTACTTAAACATGAATTAATGTTGTCGAGTCAACTTCTAAGCGTTTAGTCGGCAGATACACTTTACTATCTCGGCACCTCGTACCGCATCAGCCCATAGTATTGCTCTTCCGGTTTCGATGTTTGCCGCGTAACCACTTGCGTGCCGTTCAACTGTTTGGGTTTGGTGAGGCACACTAGCGACTTATCGCACTCAAACCGCAAGAAAATGTGTAAGCCTTTAGTTTAGCGGTGCTAAGCTTGTGCCTGATCTTCACCACCGGGGTGAGCTAAGCTCTAACGTGCAAGACTTAGCATAAACGGTTATTCACTTGGTTGAAACTGCGGATAATCCTCGATTATTTTAGCTGCATTAGTTTAAACCGTTGTTCACTGTTACCAATATATTATTTGGTTCCTACAAGTCGTGGTCAATGTCAAAATCACTGCCTTAACCTTACCAATTTATGCAACTTGATTTCACACAGTATTCAGTCTTTAGAAGGCTCGCGGTGGCATGGACTACTATTTCTGCGTCAGCACATACGTAAGGCAGAATCTAAATTATTCACTACATCTAAGTGTATTTCTATCAGAAAATGCCTGTGCTAACTGTTCATCAGGCCTTAATTGTTTATTGGCGCAGGCATTTTTCGGAAAAAGTACTAATTCACGCCTCATTTTTCAGTGGCTCGTTAGTCAACATAGGTGCCACGATTTACGGGTTCGGCTTACCATAAAGCAAACACCAAACTGACATTTAATAATTTGCTGCTCATAAGTTAACGGCTAGAACCGCAGTATTATTTTGTTGTTTGGTTGCTATTAGATTCAAAAAATGAAAGGCTTACACAACTTGACATTTTTTAGCGGATTAGTCTGTGGCCTGTTATGTTCAACCCGTAAATAATAAGCGTGCCAAACATGTCACCTGGACCACATGTGTTGAATCCATGCATGAACTTGTTCTATGTTGCATTGTTACTTTAGGATCAACGCGTGGCACGTGTGTCACAATGTGTGACGTCGTTTGTCTACTTATTCACCAACATAACTGAATGCTTCAATTTTTAACATTTATGAGCGAAACCCACTGTTGTTTAAAATCCAGTTTCAAATGCTTTATTAATTGTGTAGTACTCGCTATTGCCCACGTTAATCTTCCTCTCATATCAGTTTCGTTTTATGGCTTTCCATATGCTGCATCAATAGTAGGTTATGTATGCAACGCTATCTTCGGAACTCCTTACCTCAATAATTCGCCCAATTTAACCATCTCGACAATATTTATTGACCTCCATATTCACGAACCTTTTTTTCGCTTATCTGATTCTTGCTTCCTTGTTAGTACAGAAAACCATGCTGTTAGTCGCCAATACACTAACATTCTTGTAAGAATTTTTGAAGGCCCTACAAGCAGAAAATTTAAATCGAATTGCAAGCTTACTAAAATTACCTTGGATTTACTCATAAAAGATGACTTCATACTTGTAACTACTATGTGACTTGGAGGCAGACTTCCCCCATTAAAAATGCCTCCTACTTCAATCGGATCAGTCTGATGCGTACATGCGGCTCGTTTAAATAGAAATGTGTGTTTGATGTTTATCCATATAAGTTTTGCAACTTTGTTTCTAAGCAGGTTCGTAATCGCAAACACATTTATGATGTCGTCGTTTTGACGTATGCTATCAATATATTCAGCCTTTGATCAAAACTTTTTCTGTTTCTTGTTCGTTATTGTTGTTGTATTTTCATTCATTTTACCCAGACATCCTCAATTTTCTAACCTCGAACCCCTCATCTGCGCCTGGCTTCGTTATGGAGGTGACTGATAAAACCAGAGCTGACGTCAAGGGTGGCACTCTTGTCGGCTATGAAGGCCGCCTTCGATTGCTGGAAATCGCGCAAGTACGTCACACCAGTCCCGTAATTTTTTGCGCTAAACCACTCATAAAGGCGGTCATCCATATTTACCACCATGCTACAAAAGATAAAAGTGCGGATATTAATAATGACATTTTTTTATTGTCGTCAGCTCTAAGTGTCGTCCGAGGAGAATTTTCTTTCAAACTTTCGAAGCTGGTCGCTTCAACAATGTTCTTCTGTATTAGTGTTTTCATTGAAGCCCAAGTGTGTTACGTGTCTATCTTACGCTCAAGGGCGATAGACCTTGAGTTACCGCTTGTTAAGGCCATTTTTACACCTTTGCATACATTCTCTAATTGCACCTTATAAGTGAATTTAGCTAGTCAATCGCGCTCCTTAGTAATGAGACTAGTCCATTTCGATGAGCAGTTCAGAGGGCTTAGTGGGGCTCATTTCAGTCGACCATCCGCTTTCGCCGCTTTTAGCACAGCATTTTTAGGCCTGCGGCCTGCTTGTGTCATTGGCAACGGCACTTTTTGAAGGATCTTTGTTAGCCACTTATGTGATTTCACATTCTGGTTGGTAATTCGAATCAAATAATTCGCTAAAATTGAAATCCTAACAAATCTCAAAGAAAGTCAATGCAGGGAATATCTGCTTTTCCTATCCCTGTTGTAAAAATGAACCGTCGGGATTATTTTACCGGATGTACCACTTACTGCGGTTGGGAACAATCACTTATGCTCCCTTCCGTAATTCGTTCGAATAGCCCTTGATGTGTTGATGTATACTCAGAATGAATGAAAAGATTAGGATGGGCATTCTAACAACCGTTTCCTACGCCAAACAGGTTCCCCGTGACCATGTAGACGAATTCACGAGTGTGCGCAAGTTCCGCATTTTCAATACGAATAACTTGTGGGCGAAACTATGCGAGGTTGAGGAGCTCGTGAAGAACGACCAAATGAATATGGAGGTGATCCGCAATCCCAAAACCCTCGATTCTGGCATCAACATCATTCAGCTCGAGGAGGCCGCGGGTGCAGCCATTCGTAACTTCAAAGGAGCCATCGGTAGGGCCTGAGTGAGCTTTAATACCAACGCTTCACTCAAACCTTGCGCCAATTTTATATCGATTCTTTGTGTACACATTACATGCTATCCTATGAATGAAGTATGCGACAACTTGCCGTTACTTGAATAACATCGATCATCTTGCATCCTTTCAGAATTCCCTGTTCTGGTTAAAAGAGGGAAAGACAATAAATATGTTAACTCATGGCACTAAGATGCAATTAAAGCTTCTGTTGAAAGTTACAAAACGCATTTCTTGTAGTAGACTATTTTGAAGCGTTAGAATTCATTTTGGTCTTCTCTTTATGCCACCCTATTTATTTACAAAGCAATTTGAAAGCGCTTTCTATGCCTAATGATCTGTCTATGGCCGGTTGAGATGCAATCTGAATTTAGCGCAATTTCTTTCTGTTTTAGATTATGTGAGAAATCCCAGCATACATATATTTTCTTATCATTACACTGCGGTGTCTTTTAACAGTGATTCAGAGGGCCGATAACGGGTAACCAAAACAATAGCACTAATTTCTTGTTTCTCTGAATTTCTAGGTATTAATGTGCCTCGTAGCCGTTTCCTTCCGGTGAAGACGACCTCCGATCTTTTGCTTCTCATGTCCAACCTCTATACTCTTGACAAAGGCAACATCATCATGTCGCCTAAGCGCTCCTTCCCAACAGTGCCTCTTGTGAAGTTAGGCGATGAATTCAAAAAGGTGAAGGAATTTTTGTCTCGCTTCTCGAGCATCCCAGACCTTCTGGAACTGGATCATCTGACAATCGCCGGTAATGTACAAATCGGCCAGGACGTCTCTCTCAAGGTGAATAATAACCCACGTAGTGTTTATATTGCGGGGAACCTTTGTTTTTACTTTCCAAACCAGAATAACTCTGCTTTCTCAATTGGCCGTGAGTTGCGATAAGTTAATGCGAAATACTGTTTTATCACATACTAAACAATGGTTTTTTGCGCTTACGCGCACTCCTTCACATATGGATTTTTACGACATCACGGAGGACCCGGAGGCACTTAGAAGAGGCCGGTAATGTGGAACGTTCGCCCACACCTTCATCCACCAACCTGATCCCTGTCATGTTTTGGTTATTTCACATACACATGTAATGTTTGTACAAGGATTAACGAACAAAATCCAAACCAATAATCGCGATAACGAGTTAAAAGCGAATGAGTTAACTTCATAGCAGGTCACAGTAGCATGTTTTGTGTACATGCAATTGAACAATTAAGATAGCTAATGACCGCAGTGAATTATATATCAAAAAAGGCCGCTAAGACTTTTGAAAACGCTTAAATAAAGGCTGAATTCACTTTATTTGTTACTGTATTTTTTGGTTTTGATGCTTTTCGTAAATCAATCTTAGAATAGTTGCACGAGGCAAGAGAGGAAGCGATGACACTGCAATATCTCACCGCCAGTCCGCAAGTGACATTGGTTTGTCGAATTTGTCTTCATTCTTTACGACTTGGGTGTCTTTCTGTGTCTGATGCAGCTCCTAGTAACTCGGGGAGTATATCACCTCCAGGTTTTACTTTTGCACCGGTAGTAACAAGGTTGTATTGTCTTTAGGTACGACTGTACTTGATTTGTTTTCATATCACGGACCCACTTTTGCAACTCCATAGAATGATTACACGACACAATCTGCGTGTGTTGTTTGTGCACCTTCAGTTAGTGTATTCGAAGTCGCTTTTTCTTCGTTCGTGCATGTCTACACCCATTCGAATGTACGTGACTGTGAGCCAGGGCGAAATGCTACTGGTCAAAAGCAAGCTTTCCAAAACCCTGTGTTAACGATCGCTGGCACTTCGGTTAACCAACCTACTTTGTGGACCCTAGTTTTTGTGCATAAATATTTGTTATGTTATTTTGGAGCTTCTGTCAGTTTAAGTAAGCACAGTAAAAGTCGTATTCCGAAGTATCTATTACTTTCTTTGTACCCAAGCAGTTTCTAGTTGCTAGTATTGAAAAATAATATGCGCTATAAAGGTTTTTTAAATATTCATTCATCTATTTAGTATGAATTGTCTGCCACCACACATTTGCGCACTTTTGTGTGTATGTGTTTTTGTGTATGTTGCTATAAAAGGGCACCTAATTTGTCGTGAAGTTGCTCAAATCTCCTTTTCATTTCATGCGAATCAGTCTCCCCCAATGTATCCCTTTAATTTGGCAGTCTACCTCGATCAAACTAATTGCATTCCATAAAATTGCATAAACAAAAATTGCACGCAGCACGTCTGAACTGTGCACTCCAGGTGTAAACACCTGAGTGCGACTCAATCAGATTTCCTGTTTATAAATGTCTTGCCAGAACCGTCATAGTGCACACGGAACCTCACCCATCCGCTCCGCCAAGCACTGAATTCGCAATCACGCATTCGCATTTGAAAGTCGGTGCCAGTTGACATTCCCACTACCGAGGCGGATCGCTTTCCCCAAATCAGCATTAATGCACTCACTTACACACCTTCAAATAAGGCTGTTTGATCTTTATCAGATGCTAAATCGTAAGTAGGCGCGAAACGATGACCCTTTAGCCGGTAAATTTTCAGGCTCAGAGACGCCTTTGTCAATTTACAAGTGCGTCAAAACGAAATTTCTATTTTTTTCGTTAAAAAAGTACTATAAAAATTTTTCACAGCCTATTTTTTATAACATGTTATTTGTAGTACCGTGTTTTGATTCCCGACACTTACGCCTCTGATTTCACTTGAATTTGCTTGTAGGGGACTGTTATAATAATCGCAAACCACGGTGAAAAGATATGCATCCCCAAGGGCTCCCAATTGGAGAACAAAATTGTTTCCGGTAATCTACACATCTTGGACCACTAGGAGCGTCAGCTATTTTATTCCGAACCCCTTCCATGTGCTTGCTCTGCTTTTAGATTTGATGGAATCGTAATGAGATGGCTGATTGTCATCTCGCCCATCCTTAGCCCTTCCCTTGAAAAATCATGATACTTAGTTTTTTCCTCATGTTCTTCTTTTTGCTTACCCTGAATGATCGTTTTTTCTTAGTTTTTAATGCATGCTTGATCTACTTATCAATGCAAGATAAATAAATGAGTCCGTAGACAATTTAAATATGAATTTTTACACGCTCTGGAATTTTTTATTGACCTCTAATGCTTGAGACATTTTTAATACACAGATGGTCTCGTGAGATCACTCAGCAAGAATATGCCTCCCAAAAACAGGTGGTTATCAATCTTCCAAATGAAACACAAGTTCTTCACTAAAATTTTGAGGTGAGGTCAAGTGTCAGCTTAGACAGTGCGCGCACATTGAATTTAGATGGCTTTGAATAACAATTTACATATCTATGGAGCCATATGTGCCCGCCGAAGAGTGAAACGATAGGGAGAGATTGAGGAAGTCGTAAAGTAGTTCTTGAATCACTCACACAAAATCTTTGGAACTTAAGTTGCACGTCAAACATCTTTATTATTCCGGTTTTGAGGGTGCCATCTCATACAAGAGGTACAAAAACTGTGCAACATTACCGAGTGTGTGCGGAAATCATCTAAAGTTGAATCCGTGATTGTAAAAGTCGCCCACCACGGTACTTATGTTCCATAATCCTAATGCAGTGAAACGAGGTGCGCAAATTGCCCAACCACATTCTGTCCGTCAATATTACCGTAAAACGGTGAAACGGGTAGCTCAGCAGAAGTATCATGTTCTACTCATTTACAATTCAAAAGATTCCAATCGTGATCACCAGCTACGTCCGCGAATAGAATACCAGATCGAGAATAAAATCGACCCTTTGTTGGTGATATCATGCGGTCAATGAATCCAAATTGGGAGGATCTACGCTGATTACCCCAGGTGAAATTCGCAAAAAAAACTACATGGTACACGGGGCACGTTTCAGGGCAGCGTGCGGTACCCGCACCAAAAACTGCCTTGTTGGTACAGAAGACATTTTTATGAAATTAACTGATGTTTACTACTAAGTGACAAAATCAATTTGACCGACGTGCATTCAGGTAAAAGCGTGGAACCAAGATCAGGTATGTGACCTTTGATTACGCTTAAAAATAAATGGTTATATGATGTACCGTGTCTTCGGAGTATACAGTTCATCCCCGTATTTCCTGTTTATAACTGCTGCTAGCCTGCTCGATTAAAGTGTCATACATTTCTTCGTGGAAAAACCTGAACAAAATATTCCGATCAAATTAACCCATCAGCGCACCGCAAATACTTTCACCAAGCGCTCACAAGCACACCTCCTGAGGGAGTCAGAATGCACCGCCACAGCTATTCAAAACGATGTCTGTCAAATGGTTTCCAAGTTAGCCCATCGGACATCACTTGGACGCACTAAAACGCTTGCTGATGGGAAACACAGAGCTCGCCAAGAATCGACCTGAACCACTTGCTGAAAACAGGCGCATAAGAGATAACCCCGGCCGAATTGACACCCGATAATCGCAATCTACAATGCCAGCGAAACTGGCAGCCATAAACTTGGATCGAACTCGGGCATCAATTCGACATCCCGTTCGTAGATGCGTAATATTCGACACTTTTATTCCACGCAACAGGGGACATTATAATCCTTGACATTACACCCAAGCCTATGCGTTAATCAAAAATACAAGGAACAGCTAGACAAAAAACAACGACCTTAGCCAATAGGCGAGAATTTGGTTAAGGTCGTGAACCACCAAACACGAACCATGCAAAGAACCGTGAACACTTTTTCGCGGTACACTTGACCTGACCAGTACCTTCTAATACGAGCTGGTGGAATGACCCACCTTATTTGCGGTACGGTACCACTGTGGCGAGAAGCTTCGAAAAATATTTGGTGAAAGACCGAGACAGGCGATTAGATTGGCACGCGTAATACTAGCAACATATCGGTAGTGTGGTTCAGCTGAACAAGCTGGCTGCAAGATTATCACCGGGAAGTACTCAAACAAGAACACCAAGCAATAGGAAACAGGACTACTGATTATTTACAGCCAAAAGTATTACAGCCAAAGTTCAAGATTCTTGAAAGGGGAGAAAGCAACTATCCACCTTGTCTGCCCCTAAGCATTGAAGAATGTCATCCAGACTATCGTCAGAACAGGAAGACGGGGCCAAGGAAATATCATCGAACAATTCGTTTGTTTGAAAGGACCTGTAGATCGTGTCGTATAAGGAAGGGGACGAATCGATCGGACCTATTTCTACCTCATCGGCTGAGTTTTCGGACACTTGCGAAGACGGAATTGTAACCTCGGAAGAAATGTCTGCGACGATGCTGTCCGGGAGGATAAAATCAACATTCCCACTACAATTAAGCGCAGAGAAACCTGGACTCTGCTGAGAAGATGAAGGTATGAAAGAGCGAGCAGACAGAGAACCAGAACCTGCTGCTGAGGAATGAGTACTGCCGACTCAATGGGCTCAATCTGTCTCCTCCTCTTACACTTCGAAATCTCAGTAAAGGCCTTAATTTCCTGCCGTAGCGATATGAACTTTAATTCATGATCGCGACACTTATTCTTAAGTGAGTTTATGGTTTGGCGAAGTTTGAAGTTCTCCACTTGGAGATCTTGAATACATTGTTCCATAGAACGGATTGTGTCCTTCTTACGGTCCCGAGCTTTCTGAGCGGCTTCACGATTGAGAAGTTTCCTAGAGGTAAAAAAGCGGATAATTGAACGCACCTCCGTATCGCCTTCTCTTCCTCTGATAGGAAATCTAACCTAGCCCTTTTACGACCAGCCACATAGGATGGGCAAATGACAGTTGTACACTGATTTCTTTTGCCAGGCAGAATTAATCCATACGCTGGTTGATGCGAAAAATTTATCATTGCCAACTTTAATTGAAACGGAACAGAACTGTGCTCACCTAGAAAGGAAAATGAAACAATGACGCAAAACCCTACAATGTTGTGGTGACGCATTTAAACAATGTTGATTGTGATTTAGTCACTAGGGCTATATCGAGCGATTACATGTGATTATTTGTAAGGGCCTTGTAAATATTTGGGTATTTAAGGAGAAACCAGGAATAAAAGATAGTGGGATGCAATTGAATGTAAGATTTCAGAAATCTTTTTGAAATATTTCACGCAGGATTAAAAAATCAGGTTGACGCGTATTGTCCATTTAATTTAAGCATACAGCTCATATAACTTAACCATACCATGAAGCATTAGTAATTTACCTATCATAATCAAAAAATCATTAATTCTTTTACCTTAATTTCGTCAAAATAAAAGTTTGTAAAATGCACCAAAAACATGCTATAGTAGTGCTTTTCATTATATTTTTCTCACTATAAAAAAACATATGGTATGAATTAGATTAAATACAAAAGACTTCTGATATATTTACAGAGAATGATCATCCAAGTTTGATTTAATATCACTATGTGAAATTAATTTAATCTTTAAAACGGGAACTGGCTTCGATTAATCTTTCTGCTTTTGATTTTTTTACAAACGCATATGGCCCATGGTAAGAATACAAATCCACATTGTTATACATTCACAAGAAATTGCCTTTGAGAAAGACCACAGGGAAAAGCAATTAGATTACGCATTTTAAGACATTCACTATTTATATGGATTAATTACAGGCCAATTTGATGGTTTATTAAATTATTAAAATGAATATAGTTGCAAAATAAAGGCTTGCTAAATTCAACATGCTGTTTTTATATTTTTTTGATTGACCTTTTTTATGAGCATTTCTCTTGGTGTACCATCTGAACTTCCTAAGTGTAGTTCATTTTTCTGTCATAAAACCTTTCTCTTTTAGCATTTTATTTCCCTTACTATGCACCTATAGACCTGGCATCAGCACAGATCCCCATTAATGTTAATCTTTTGAGGTTAAAACATCAGCACTCTCCTTAAGTATTATTACCTGTTTTTCTTAAAAGCAGTCCCCTTTTTCTGTCTCATGTCTGAAATATAACCCCAAATGTGTGCACGTCTTAGATACGCAGACTGATGCTGGCCTTCCTGTCTGCATCCGCTGACGGCTGGCATTCTACGCCGGAGCAATATGGTCTCCTTACTCGTTTATCTGTTGCAACAGTCTAGTCAAATAGTCCTAACATTTATTGTCTAGAATAACAAGTATACGTTGTCGATCTTACAGCATCTTCCGATGTTATGTTTGTGGTGTGTGAATTCAGATGTTGGGTTCAAGCTTGCGCAGTCAGTTCTTGCGCAGTGTTCTCGTTTAGGTTATTGTTTTAGGCCTCTTTTTCTTACCAAACCCCTCCTAAAATTTATTCACTCGGCACAGCACATTCAATACATCATATCAATGGGTACAATTTAACAAATACTAGATGACTTTATGTTATTTCACCTCTAATATTTCGTTTTAAGAAAACAACGTCAGGCGCCTTCCATCCGAGTCCACAACGCTGGCCACGCCGCTCATTATATACTGCATCTCATCCATGTCCTTCTCTGGTTGGCTGCCTTCCTTTCCCACATGCCATTGGATCGCAGAGAGACACGGGATTGGCTGAGGCCGGGTGGTCCAACATGTCTGCGCCCTAATCCGGCGCCACTGTAGGATACCCGAGCCCTAATAGGAAAAAGACCGGTACAACAGAACAGGCTTTATTGACCAATCAGAAGCCAGAGCCACGCGTCA